AATCAAAATTGAAAATAATTTAAATTAACTCATTAATCTAATTGTTTATTTCTACTTTCAAAACTCTTAAAAAATATTATATTATTAGTCTTAAATTATTCTTCTTATTATAATTATTTACTAATGAAACATCATATATTATAAACTTGAAACGTTATTCTCAAATTAATTCATACTGTACCGCAAGAGTATGTACCAATTGTTATATCCAATTTAACTCATAGCACCGCTTATCATTGTTATAAAGTGAAGCTGCGATATAATAACGTAAAGTGATGCTGCAATAATAATAATAATGTAAACGATGGAATATATACACATAGGAATTGAAAAAAATAGCGCTACAGTACATATATACACCTATTCACGAAACCATGTATATAAGTGAAGGAATGAAAATCGCTACTCTATATACACATGCAGTGCTAATCCCATTTAATTTTTATGTATACTACAATGTCTATATATTAAATTGGATTCTCAATTATCTCGCAATTTCAACAATATATCAATTTCAAATATAAACAGAAACAATTTTACAATCGAATCCCATATATCATTTATCACATACCCTATTATAGAGTCAGAACCCCATTTTTACCTTAGATTGAAGGTTGTTCTAACTCTCCGATTGCACCTAGTTTTGCCTCCTCTTTGCACTTCTAGATATCTCTTCCAAAACCCTTATTTCCTCTTTTTCGAAAACCTATTTTTTTTCTCCTCTTATTTCTCCTCTTACTGCTACTTCTACTCCTTATTATTCTAAAATAACTAATATAATATTATTATCATTCTAATATAATATAGCTACTATACTATTATTCTTATTAGGCTTAAATTCCTACATCTTCCTTTCTACTACTTCTAACATTAAAATAGACTCATATAAATAATAATAGTATTATTCAATATTAATCCTACAACTTAATCAACTAATTAATTCAACTAAGAACGACACAACTTAAGTAAGCATATTGAATCTAGATTTCACTTATTAAGGGAAAAGGTAAATCGATGTGAAGTTGAAGTAAGACATTGCTCAAGTGAAGCGCAGTTGGCTGACATTTTCACCAAAGGACTAAAGATCGACAAATTCCTGAATTTGAGAAAGAAGTTTGGATTAATTCAGATCGATTATGATTAGCGTATGTTCGACAACTTGGATTATAGGGGGGTATGTTGAGATATTAGATATAATCCAGGTTGATTAATTTGATCCCAAACCAAATTAGAGTTTGTTAGCCTACTTAGTGTACATGTTAGGTGTATATAAATAGACATAATTTGTAATCCAGTTTGTAAAATATAATTCAATAATACAATCTTTATTTTCTTATTCTCTCAATTCTCCCCTTTACTAAAAATGTCTCACGCACTAACAGTGTTGACCAAGTTGCATATGGTTGCTTCATTAAGACAATACATGTGTTACCTTGTGCGTATGAACTTGCAGGTCTTCAAATACAAGGTTACACTGTTCCATTAGAATCCATTCAAGTGTTTTGGAAGAAATTATACATTGAAGATCACGAAGTCATTGAAGAAGAGAGTGAGACACAATTGAACTTAGATGAAGAATGTGAAAAGTTGAAGAGGTATTTCAACATCTTGGATATTGTTGTCCAGGGGGGCGATGAAGAAAAATGTGTGTGAACTTACATATCCATGTACTTCCATGTGTCCACCACTAATGAAGTACAAGTCAAAAAGGGAGTTAAGAGTAAAAAGTGCAAGAGATTGATGTGCATTGTAATCCTTCATATTGGGAGTATGTTAAAGCCTCGTAGGGAAGTTAAACATCTAAGAGATCATATAGCAAAGATCCAGCAAATCAACTGTCTTGCAAGTATTCAAGACATCTTTACTTGTCTCAGTTTCCTATTTTCTTACATGACTACATTGAAGATATTATACATGTGGAGGCTATTGGAAATTGTGATTTCTGTGCTATTAGAGATTTAATAGGATGGGGTGAAGAGTCATGGTCCTTAGTTTAGACGCATTTTGATACACTACAACATTTAGGCTCTCCAGCAACAATTGAAAAACGTTGCCATTACTCTGAAAATCGTTGCCTAAAACAATAGGGGACGTTTTCTGGGCGTCTCCTGTGCGAGCGTTGCCTATTGTTTGAGGCAACGTTTTTTTATGTTTTTTGGGAACGCTTTTGAAAAACGTCGCCTATAGTAAAGGAATAGGAGACGATTATTTACGACCTCTGAGACAACGTTTTTTAAGCGTTGCCAAATTCGGCTACAATTAACAATCGTTGCCTTAAACCTGAATCAGGAAGATCGTTTTTGAAGTGTAGCCATAGCTTATAGGTTGTTGTTTTATAGTGTCCACATAAAATATACAATTTTGCAATTATTATCAAAATAATATAGTCAATAATAATTGGCTTCAAAAATAATATTGATTATATAACTTAAACCATACATCCATAAAAGTTGTAATATAATAAAATCGAGTTCGAACTTTAATTCAAGATATAGTATATAGAGTACACAAAATGCCTAACGTAACAATATTACTTTTAATACTTTGAAGTATGACCCTAGTAAAATAACTAAAAACATAGTTCAGCAAAAGAACAAAAATCATATTTCAAGTTTAATGCTTTCAACTACAAGCCAAAAAAAGACATCATCCAACTCATTCAAGTTTGTCTTCTAGGAGTAAAGCATCCAGATCGTCCTCTTGAAATTCGTTAGATATGTCATCCTCCATAAATTCTTCATCTACGTCGTCCTCTTGAAATTCACCATCTATATCCTCCTCTTGAAATTCATCATCTAGATCTATGTCGTCCTCTTGAAATTCGTCATCTACGTCGTCCTCTTGAATTTTATCATTTAGGTCGTCCTCTTGAATTTTATCATTTATGTCGTCCTCTTGAATTTCATCATTTATATCGTCATTTTCAACATCTTCATTGATACATTGCTGCATAAGAAAATAAAATAAAACACATTAACCATAAGTATTTTTGGTCCAAAGGACAATTAAGACATCAACAAGAATTAAACCTCGCACAAATAAAAACTAAACCAATGAGCAAAACACATTGTTTATATTCTTCACATCTCATGGATGTGAATTAATTATGAAGGTTTTTAATGGATGTGAATTTTCATCATCATTATCACCATCAAGATCTATAAGACTCTCATCTTCACCATGATAAATCCATTCAGTGTATCCCTTTACAAATCCTTTACTACATAAATGGTCATACACTACATCTCTTACTTCCCAACTATCATTGCAACATACAGAACAAGGACACAAAATCTCTTCTTCTTCAACCATTCCTTTGGTGAATGCAATATCCAAAAAAGTAATTTACACTGTCCTTATAACTTTGACTGTGTGGAGGTAACTCCACCCAATCCTTCTTTATCATGTTTGGTTTTCTAAAATGAAATAAATTATACATTACTCTTTATCATATAAAGGATGGAAAAACACCATGGTTCATATATCAACGTAGCTTTTACAAATGCATAGTTATTATAAAAATTTCATTTATAATCTAAATATACACTAAACATGCATTCCAATACCAAACATAGAATAAATTGGTGAACTTTTAATCTAAACATGCACAAACATTTCATAGTCTAATATAATATGTATTTGTTGTTTCTTTTCAAACTATATAATATGTATCTGTTACCTGAATTCTTTCAACTTGATTCCAGCAGTAATAGAAACTAAAATCTTGTCCTTAGTTACAAGCGACTTCGATTTCAACACAACTTCCTTCACTGCAACAACAACAACAAAGCTAGTAAATGAAACGGAGACGTTTCTTTCCCAAACAATGTTGAAACCGATGAAATATCTATTGAGGTTTAACCGAAACAACGACGGTGAATGATCTACAGACAAATAATTAGAAAATGAGAAAATGAAATGCAATTACAATTACAAACTTATTAAACAAAATTTGCAGACTAAGAGGTAAAACTTGACCTGTAATTCAACAATTTTATTGAGTTTTTCCGTTTCTACTCAGTCTGATCGGACCAAGTTTTTCTTATCCTACTCGGTCTGATTGTTGTTTTTGCTCATTCACTTATTTATTATCACCGTACTAATCACTTTATTGTGTCATATCTAATTGATAAATATTAAAAAAAAGTATAATTAATAATTAATTATAAAAGTAATATTGATAAGTTCCAAATATATTTGAGGATTGGACATACGTGTATCAAAATAAATACAACAGATACATTTAATCTAAGTTGAGAAAAATATTTTTCATCGGAGAAAACTCACCTATCCAGCTTTGGTATGAGCGGGACCATGAAGGGCTTTGATAGTGAATTGTCTGAAGTATAATTTAAATTTTACAGTCCTTTAAAGCATGTGCGTCATCCATGAGTACACATCTCCACTTCCAACGCTTCAGGATTTTACGTTCATCCTTCTGTTGTGGAGTAGAGCAAATATATATTTTAAAACTATAATTAATATATGAAAAAAGTCATATAAGTAGCAAAAAAAAAGTATAGGAAAGAACCTGTATCGGTTCGAAAAGTGAATAACACACAAGAAGAACATTAAATGGGGGAGGCAATCCTGCTTTGGATAAGGAGTTTAACTCCTTGCAGTATGTTGCGCGTGCGTGACACATGAAATCAAAAGTTAATCACAGATTCATAACAACCATACCAACCTCTAATTCTAAAGCACAAATACTGTTACCAGAATCAAAACCACAAACAAAGCTTTAAAACATCAGTGGCACTATACACACAATAATGTTCCAATAAACACAAATTCAAAAGCTGCACAAACATTAATCACACAGCAAGCATGTCATTCCACAACAATGAATAATCACCATCACATGAAACAAACAGTCACAATATTGAGAAAACCGTAATGAAATATCAAAATATCTATCCTATCATGGATTCTTTTTCAAATAACACAATAACAAGTAGATGTGGCAATTTAATCCATTACAGAGTGTGAAAGATAATAGATTATAGAAGCATAATCCAAAATGAAGCTGAAGTTACTGTCCAAAAGCAAGTAAATAAATAAAATGGAACTAAAGTATCTGACCTTTTTTCAATATTTACCAGACCTCTCTCCATCATTTCATGACGAAGTTTCTCTGCCTTTTCGGTCTCATTTCTCTTGAGCAGTGCACCAATAATTGTATCAAAAGTTACAGCATCAGGGAGGAAATCATTGGTATCCATTTTTGATAGTAAGAGTGTAGCTTCATCAAAAGAGCCATCTTTACAAAGTGCATTGATCAATATAGTATATGTTCGGACATTTGGAGGGCAACCATGCACCAAAAGGTATTGAAGAGCATCTTCTGTAATCTTCAAGAGTTCAATAAATCATCAACTATCGAAACATACATTTACAAGCATAGCACAACAGATTGCACAAACGAGATAACCAGTTAAATGTGAATAACTTACCCCCTCGAGTTTTCTGAGAAGTGCCCGTCACAGGGGTGTCGTCAGTGTTTTTAGCCCCATATTCACGTCCTGACTCTGACACATCCATAGCCCCAGTCTGATATAAGCAAGCAAACCAGATTCAGAAAAATACTTGGGCAAAGATTATGAAGCGAACATTAACAAAAACTCATAGATTAATTACAAGTGTATGACTTGAGGTATGAGTGCAAATCCAGAATTATCTTCCAAATGCAGAATTGCATGTACAGTGTAAATAGATTTACAAACTTTCATCGATATGAATACATAAAAACAAACCGCTTTATGGAACAATTGAAGTGCAAAGTGAAGCTCTGATCTAGTGCGAAATGAGAGAGGAAATTTGGATGGAATCCCATCCTCAGAGACGCTACAAGAGAAGTTAAAAAACCGAAAATGAAAAATGAAAAAGAGGGAAAGGTGTAAGAAATTCTCACCATTCTCGGCGGTTGAAGAGCAACTCTTGGATTCTAGGATGCCCAATAAGAAAAATATTCGTTCAGAAATTTTACCGAACACTTGGTGGACATAGCACGAAACAACAAATTCAACACCACAACTTGCAACAACAACAACAACAACAAATAACAAAACAACAACAATGATGTAGGAGATATGAATTGAAACAGAAGCAAGAAGAAGAAAGAATCGGCGGAGGAAGGTGATGCTCACCGATAATTGATTGAACGGAAACCGGAAAGGCAAGAGTGGTGCTGCGGTGTGTATCTGTTTACGGTATGGTGTGTCGGAAGATGGCCATAGAAGATCTCCATCGCGAGATGGTGAAGCATGGTCGGGCGGAGCCTGGGCAGCTGCCCTACCTGGCCGGACGCTGGCTCCGCCACTGGGCTCAATCCACACTTTAAAAGTATTATTGACAAAACGATAATTAATGTTGCATTAAAATTTGAAAACGGCGGATAAATAGGAACAAAATTCTTCAACAAAAGTGACAATTAAAAAGTAACAGAGGGGATACTTTCTTATATTATAACACTATGCTAAAAGGATACTTTGTCCTCTGACTACATTTTCTAGTTTCTCCTCATTTTCTACCAAAATTTCCTTTGAAGATGCAAACTGCACTAAAAATATAAAAGTGAAGAGCTAAAGTATTACTTGTACAGGTGAATACTTACTGCAATCATGACACTTTCATGGAATATCAACGGAGATATGAACACCCAAAAGATGTCGTAGGCAAAAGCAGAAGAGAGGAGTACAGTCGCAACCTGTTAAATTAGATGAATAAGAAAATGACAATAATTGTAATTGATGACAAACAGAAAAAATTAAGAAAATGAAGAATGGTTAATTAACTGTAGATATAAGGATTCCATTTAGCTACCTTAATATTGGGTAATTGAGCCAGCTGCAAGACTGTTATCATCAAACAGATTCCCTGTTAAGAACAAAAAATACATTAAGTGAATAGCTATCAGTCAAAGATCAATCACACAGTTACTCATTGGTTTACAGTCTCAAACATGCTAGATAGCAAACAAACTTCCAGTGCAATGCTTCAGAAAGCTCAATAGGAACCAACCAAGATCCCAATGTTGTATTTGGCCCATGTGTGCAGACTCATACAGAGGCATTATTTAAAGATTTGACAATAATAAACTTGACGAGTATGTGTAGGGAAATGGGAATAATGGTCACAAGATTTCCAATTTATAGACTAATGAACAGTGCTCAAGTAATCAGGTTGTTAAAATTGTTAAAACTTCAAAGAACGGTGGATGAGGAACCAGTTGTTAAATCAATTGGAAACTTAATAGATGAGCTATAAAGTTTGTTAAACCATGAATTCCTGTTTTGAAACTTTTAATAGGACATGTTCACATATGAGAACTAGGAAAATCCGACTACAGAAACCATTGCAAACTTCTACTCTAGTTTATCATACAAAGCTTCTAGCTTCCTCTCAACTTCAAATGACAGACAGTATTCACAAACAACATTTAAGAAAGGGAATGACTTTTGTCTGCTAGGCATCTGAACAAAGTAAGATTCAATTTAGACACTGCGGTGATAACAGAATTTAAAGAACTGTAATGAAGATACTAGAATATGAAACTTACAACCCATTGATTAAAATCCCATAAGTAAACTCATCAAAAAGATACCCTTGGGCTACTAGGTCTTGGTAAAAGTTCAAAGCTTTAAAAATCATCCCATTCATACAAAAACCATTAATAATTGTATTAAAAGTCACCATGTTAGGTTCATAGCCACTCTTAAGAATGGTAGCCAATAACGAAAAAGCAAAACCCATATGAGATTGATGACAAAAACAGTTAATCAAGATGCTGAAAGTAGCAATGGAAGGTGAAATTCCCCTAAGTTGAAACTGCGAAAAAAGAGAAATTGCAGTGGGATAATGACCCATCCTCACAATAGCTCCTAAAACCTTGTCAAATTCACAAGTGGGTGGCGGAGAAAGTGCGCGAATCAAGCAATTGAAACGAGTAACAACAGCATCTACATTATGAAACCCAGAACTTTTTCTACCATAGTGGCGTTGCAAATGACTGAAGAAGCGATAAAGAAACAATGTAGAAGAAGTTAGAATAGGATTAGGAGAGAATTTGGGAATGGCATACCTTGGATTTAGCATCATCAATAGAGTGAGGTGATTTCACACTCGAGATTCGTTTCGTTCCTCTCTCGTTTTCTTCTTCAATTGCGGAACGAAAAGCTCTTGTTGTCACTGTGTGTTGCAGCAAGGGTGGTGTGTGGTTTTTCTCTTTAAATCAGAACCATTCTTCATTAAAAAATGATAATAATGCAAGGTGAATAGAAATATGATGCTGCCTAGGGTTTATGTTTTGATTCTTTTCAGTCTCCACCTCCATCATCAGCTCATGCTTTGTGACAAAATTTTTGTGTATTTCTATGTTTTTAGAAGAAAAATTCCTGTTTAATTGAAATATATATATATATATATATATATATATATATATATATATATATATATATATATATATATATATATATATATATATATATATATAATTTTTTATTTTCTGTTTAATTGAAATTTTTTATTTTTAAATTCCTGTGTTAGAAAAATATTTTTTTATATATATATTAATAATGTTTAGAGAAAAATATTTGTTTTTTAGTGTATAAGTTTTGGAGGGAAGAGCTACCAAAAATTTGATAATTCTAAAAAAATTTATACAACATTTCAGAAATGTAGCCTTTTATTAGAACTAATGTAACAATCTAAAAATGTCCCCAAAAATATTTTAGGGGACAATTGTCAAACATTGCTAAAGAAATAATATTTTAACGCTCTAAAATCGTCCCCAAAAGCAGTTAAGGGCACAATTAACAACCGTTGGCAAAAAAAATAAAAGAGTATCGCTCCATAAACGTCCCCAAAAGTATTTTAGGCGACGATTATCAAGGGTTGCAAACATATTTTTGACAACAATCGTAAATCGTTGCTTATATGAATTTAAGGCAACAATTTCTACATGTTACCTAAAAAAGTGTTGCCAGAGACAACAAATGTTGTAGTGATATTAAAGTTTATATAAACAATAATTTGTATTCCAAGGTGTTCTATAACTCACTCTCAAAAAGTTAAGAATCCCTTAGGAATATCTAGTTTGGGTGTTCAAGATTATAAAAAATGGATGACGATTCCGGACACAAGTAACCCTATTTCTTCTAGATACATTTTGATATAAGTCTCATTGTTCAGTATCTTTAACATCACTTCCTTTTCACTTGTGGTATCTCCATTTATGTCTACAAGTAGACATAATATTGTTGCAATTAATTTTGTTAACAATAATCGTTGGATTCAGGTGAAGTTAAACTTCAATTGTCCATTGCCTCCCGTAATTGACCGTTGGAGAGAGAAAAGTATTGAAGTTGCAAGAGTATGGAAAACAACATATACATATACATGACATATAAGGCATTGGAAATAAGAAGTCAGAAAATCAACATAATTTAAATTGTATTGATATTCACTAGTGCAAAAAGAATATATAACACTTGATATTTTAGCATTTAATACTACTTATTGTACTGGTGTTATTGCCACCAGTATTGTAAATATCACATTTGACACCCTTTTTAAAACATGTATGAAAATTTTCATTTGACACCAATTTTAAACCGGTGTAAAAATACATATGAGAGATGTAATTTCCCTTTTAAGAACCAAGAAACACAATTTAATACTGTTCATAATTAAAAATAAGTGTGAGATGTTAACATTCAACACCTTTTTTTTTATATTATAAATGCATGTTAAATGTTCACATGTAATGCTATTATTTAATTAAAAAAACATGTGTCGAAAAGGAAAATTTTAACACCTAATTTTACTTTAAAAAAACAGTGTATAAGCTTTTTGTAGTTATGCAATAAAAGAACAGTTTTTTTTTTTTTGTTGTTGCTCATGTTAACAAAATTTAAAATTTTACGGCCATTCCATACACTCACAAACAAAAGCAAGATATGTATAACAGTTTTTTTGCTGTTCAATGCTTAGATTTTTTTTGAAAAAGTTTAGAAAGAATAAATAAGTTTAGGAGAAAAAAGTTTTGGGTAAAGTTTCATTCCATACACTCACAAACAAAACAAAAGGGATACTATAGTGATAAAGGGACTCATGTATAAAAGAAAAACGAAATAGATGACTAGACAGTAAATACAAATACAAGATGTCTAAGAAAAATTTCATTATGTCAATCTCTATCCATTACACATTCAATCTAGAGATATGGTCTCTAGGTAAAGACTCACTTTGCCTCAATCTCATTACATTAACATCGATTTTTTGCTTAACACATCCATCAATTTTAATGGGAAGAAAATATTAAGAGGTCATTTGGTCACCTTATAAAAAGTATCAAGCAAATCTATGCCTATGTTTGATAACATGTCTGAATTGAAATCCAAACGAAGTATTCAAGAAAGCCATCCTTGACATTGCAAGTCTTGCGCTATCAAAGTTCCCGTAATCAAGTCTTGTTGATGCAAAAAATTGCATTCATTGATTTAAGTACTAATAATAGTGTAATCAACCAAGAGCTTCATCGTTCATTTTGTGAGTGCAACTTCACTATTAGATATTTTGTATGATGTCAAAATTTAGAAAGCTATCATTTCAGTATAGTGGACGATATCCTTATGTCTTGTGGCATTACCTTGCATTAGAGGTCTTAGGAGTCATTTAAAACAAATTTGAAATTGATCCTATTCATAAAAAATCATTTTCTGCATCAATTTTTATTGTATGTGTCGACACATAAGTATTTCAAGTCGACACATACTGAAGCTTTTAAGAAATTGCAGAAATACTGATTTTATGTGTCGACACATACGAATTTTAGGTCGACACATGTATTGTATTTTTAAAGCCTGTAGCCTCTAACTTGTTTTGGTCGACACATCCGTTTTTCAGTTCAACACATGCAGTTAAAATTTGACTTATGTGTCGACACATACAATTTTCAGTTCGACGCATACTGTTTGATTGAGTCAAATTTTCAATTCTTTTTAATTCTGAAAATATCCTTTTTACATCTAGACTTTCACAACTATAAATACATCATTTATGCATCATTCCAACTTGGTGAAACCATAAAATTAGCTTATTTTCTCTTCATCTTCAGTCTCCAACCTACGCATACACTAACATTATATTGTGATGATGTTCCGTTGGAGTGTCATCTAGACAAGGAATGGTAGTGTCTAATTGAGTATTGGGTTGATCTTTGTAGGGGTTTCATCCAGAAAAACTCTTCGTTAGGGTTTTCCCTCCAAGATCTGTGTTGGTGCGGAGGTTTTGTGACAAGATCCTTCAAGAAGGAATCGTCCATGTGAATTCTCTTAGAGTGTTTAAAATCTTTGTAAGGTAGTAGCAAAAAGTGGCAGATAGAATTGAAGATCTTGTGCGGATAGAGTGCAATCGGATTTACTCGAGTGAAATCCCTTGTAGTGTTTGAAATTTTTACAAGGATTCTTGGAGTGTTTAAAATCTTTGCAAGGAAGTAGCTTAAGCGGCGAATAGGTTACATCTATCGGTGTTGGTCTTGATCAAAGATCAAAAGAAGAGAAGGATTTGAATCAACAATAAGCATTAGGGTTTATGGAGTTGCTCTTGAACACTTCTCTTGTATCAATTTCATTAGGCGCAGACGTATCTGTAGCGGTAGAAATGTTTAAGACTAAGTCATTGGATTGACTAGACTTATACAGATAAAAAAATCGCCACTGCGCTTTATTGTTTCCAAAGGAATGGGAAAAGAGTGAATAACCCAAAAAGAGGGGGGGAAATTCAAGGTAAGGGGGTTGGTTATGCAAAGGGAAGGTATTAGCACCCTAAACATCTACGGTACTCCGTAGGAACCTCTTTAAAAAATCTGTATATTTTGACTATAAAATGTTGTATAAAAAATAGATGGTGGAGGTGAGAAAAGAAGTATTTTTTATGATTTTTACATCCGCCGCGATTGCGAACCTTTAGTGCCCACGTACCACCTTTTATGCAATAGGGGATCAGGGTACACGTAATTCACCTTTAAAAATTTTAAAACACAAGTGTGTTGATTAATTTTATGAGATAAGACATCATCGTCATTGTCCGTGTGGAAAACATACTTACTACCCACAATTATGAGAAAGGAGAATTTGCATCATCTCAAAGTGGAGGATATGGCTTGGATTTTAAAATCAACAATGCCTCACTCAACATTCAAGTGGAAAATATCTCTCTTCACTATATATTGTAGAAGTATAGTTGTTTGCATCACTACAAGGATTGACAAGAGTCTAATCTTTTGAAAAAAGTTTAAAGTAAAAAGCCAAAGTGGCGAAATGGTTTGAAATGAGATTGATTGACTTTTAATCTTCTCACAAAAATGCCAAGGTATTATTAAATTGATTGGAGTTTATTTATGAAAAATGTTTTGAAAATTCATGGACCTAGGTCCAAGTTTATTATGAAAGTGGTTCAAGTTTAAAAACAAGAAGAGTTTTCAAAAGGAGGGAGAAGATTTTTGAAATTGAAGAAGATGGGAGGAGAAGAAGAGACTATCGTAAAGCATAAGGTAAAAGCTAGGGATAAAAACCATCTAACCGACAAGAATCCATTACTTGACATTATGAGTCAAGATAGAATTCACATTCTTTGGATTGAAACCAAGCAAGCAAAGATACTAGACCTCTTGAGAGAATCAAACTTCAAGTGTATTAAATCTTCACAAAAATTGGACAGAGTAACGGTTGTATACGGGTGAATTCCAGATTACAAACAAAGTATGTAATCACAATAACCTGCACACAAAACAAACAAACAACTCAATGTCTTGAGGTAAACCTCAAGAACTCTGGACAAAATATCAATTAAGGTCACAAGGTCTCCAACATAGGCCAAGGTTTCTAATCCTAAGTCCAAGAAGTCCAATACTCCATAATGCCAAGGATAGTAACCAAATAGTCCAAGTATCATTAATGATTTTTATGGTTTATGTTGATTATTAGGTATCTTAAGAAAGAAAAGCTCAAGTGAGCCAAATAAAAATGACAAGAATGTAAATACTCAAGTGAGCAAAGATGAAAAATAGCATGAAATGTAAATGCTAAAGTAAATGGTGCATAAAATAAAAGAGCATAAAATAAAAACAAAAAATAAAGTCAATTATTAATAATTAGTGGTTAGTTGGCTGACCATATTGAAACTTGAATTTGGAACTCATTAGAGGATTGGTAGAACCAAAGCCTCCACACAATGAATTGCATTTGCTTTATGTCAAGTATATCATCCATTTTGGAATCCTCAAAAGTACTATTCAATGATCAACGATGTTTAAGTGATACGCGTTGCCAAAAGTGATGTAGAACCATTAGAGGATTGGTAGAACCAAAGCCTCCGCACAATGAATCTCAAGGTTATTGGATCAAAGAGATCAAATTAACATACTTCGGCTTGCAAACATAGGTTTGGGCCACAAATGATCATTTATTCGAATCGGGACAAAATTTAGTGTTATGTTAAGCAATCGTAAGTGGGCTTATATAGAAGTCGCACCTATTTTGAGGCCGATCAATAGAAATCTATGCACCATTTGTTTTGAGACATGATATAGAGATCATGCTCCAATAACACTTAGTGCAATAAGAAAGGGATGAGATGAAGAGGGGTGGGAAAGAATATACAAACCACATTTGAATTAAATTTTAATCAAACTATTATTAAAAGCATTCATCCATTTTTATGGAGTTAGACTCAACACCATGGATCCAATGATATTAACAAAGTTCATGATAAAAAATTCAACCAAAGATCATCCAGAAAATAATCATAAAATAATATTGCATTTAATGAGAAATAAATGAGAAAAATATTAACTATGTTCAAATTAATCAAGAAATATTAAGTAAGACCATAGAAAAATCAGAAATGAACTCAAATATTTTTGTAAAAATTTTGGTAATTTTTTAAAGTCAGAAACTATTTTTAAGATTAAAAGAAATGAGTAAAATAAACCAAAAATGATTTTAAAAAATAACAGTCAGAAATAAAAAATAAATGAGGTCGCCAATATTTGTCACAATATCATTGAATCATTCCAAAAAAATTTCAGAATTTAAAAATGCATGAAAGTATTTTTAAACATTTAAAACAATTCAAATAAAGTGAAAATTTATAAAAAATATCAAAACACAAAATAAAACCGTGAAAAAATAAAAAACATAAAGAGAAAAATCAAAAATATTTTTCATAATATTTTCAGATATTTTGGACTTAAAATGAATTTTCTATGATTTTTTGAATTTTAAATCAACTAAAATAAAAATCAGAAAATAAAATATCAAACCAAAAAAATATGAGTCATCTGATCATTGTCAAAACGCGTTAGTAAACAGATCAAGTGGACCTGGCGCGTTGTGCTTGCTATGGACTTTAGTGAATAAAACACTGAATCAAATGTAAAATCAGATTTAAAAAAAAACAAATGGTACGCCATCATTGGTTGGAAGATGATACGTTGGTCATCTTCAACCTCCATTCAACGTGAATTGCAGGTCTCTTAAACTGTAAAATCAGAAGCTCAAACCTATGTCATTCGCTTCGTCTCATCAAGATGAAGACAACCAAACCTTCGCGAAAAATTTATATAAATTGTAGCTCAAGCAATTTGGAAGAGAAGTTTTGAAAAGGGATTTGAAATTTCATGGTCAAAACGTGCTTCCAATTAAAAACAAATGTTGCAACTAGAACCAAGGCAATGAAAGCTTCACAATGATATCAAAGTTTGGAAGAATTGATGGAGAAATCTACCTATTGAAGTTGAGTTGCAAAGCTCTGAAACTGGACTTCTATGGATCAATATAGGTCACAATTCTTGAAGGCAATTGTATGGTTAGCTTCAGGGAAGATCAAAGAAGGTGATTTGATAGAAAAAATGGATTGAAAAAGGCTTGAACACTGATTTGGAAGTTGCAGAAAAGTGAGTTATAGAATGAGTTTGGCAGGGTGATTTTGGTTGTTCAAGCTTGAGGAAATGAATGAGGGATGACCCTCTATTTATAGGGAATCAAATGGAATGTTCAAGCGTGTGAAAAGACGAAGTTTGGAGGGAAATCGTGTGAAGTTGCAAACAAGAAAAGTGTGACTTCTATTTTGATCAAAACTCATCCAAAACGCACGTTTTGTTATGCTAATCACTTCTGGAAGTTCACTAAACATGTTTAGAAGCAAAAACGCACAGAAAAAATGTGTTTAGAAGCTAAATCAAGGATTTCAAATTCTGA